ATCCACAATAGATCCGCTTATAGGTATACCCTGAGTTTGCCGAAACTCGAAATAACTCTCGGCTAAATGCAAATGCGCGCCACGGTCCTCCTCCACCTGTCTTTTCCTCTTTCAAGTCACCTCGGCATACACCTACCCCTCCCCCCTTTTAATGTCCAATACACTTGTACGCGTGGCCCTCGATCCACTTTCCATATCGCGCAGAGAGTCCCGTTGATTGAGCTTTATAACGTGTCCCGCCCCTTTCTCTCTCGTGAAATTGCCTCTCGCTTCATCCGTGCCACGAGTAGGTGTATAACACTGTTCCGTGGTCATGTGTGCGGGGGTGGAGTCTGGGACGACGGGCTCGCAGGACGTAAGTAATGTGCGCCCCGACTCGAAAGGGCTCAATGCAATTACGGAAGAGGTGAACTACTGGGGAGGCAGTGGGTCTCTCTTTTTTTTCAAGCGACGTCGCTCCGCTGCGAGCAAATTAATAGACTACTGCTGCCGTCTCCGAAGCTATGTTCTCCCTCGGTCGGGCTTTTAAGCTTTCAAGATCGTGTGCAAGTACGTTTTGATTGTTTCTTTCTTTCTCTTTTTCCTCTCTGACGGTTTTTGACTGCTATTACACGGTGAAAGTGGTATAGGGCTTTTTTGCTTATCATGTGCTTCATTGCGAATACGTTTTTGTGATTCGTTAAAGAAAAAAGGTTGGTTCGTTACGTGTGATTTTACAATACCTATTGATTTTAGTTATTAATAGAAGCGAAGCCGGTTCGTGTAAAACTGAATTAATTAATCAGCATTCGTTAGTACCCGCAACACGTGGTGCATCTCGCATTATATCGAGAGGCATGTGGTCTTTCATAATTAATTTGTTTCCCACTGTTGAAACGCTGCCTTCATTTTGTATCATTAAAAATTTGTACAATGTATCCATTAAAATTTGTGAAACTCGATGATGATTATAAATTTACATTAGCTCGATTTTGCACACGTACAATCACATTTAAAGTTGATAACTCGCTCGAGGTCCTTAAGCACTTGGTTTTTTAATATTAATCTTTTAAGATATCATTGAACGAGTGGTCACAGCTTCTGGAGAAATTCCACTTTCAATCGATTCTTTCGACTGATCGAAAACTTTACGCGGGAGAGTTAACGATTTAAAGCACACTTGATTTCTAAATTTCACGGTGATGTCTTTGATATTTCTATGAAGATTATCATTAAAATAGTACAAAAGCGTATTAAATGTATACCCTACAGTTCACCTTAGCGCGTATTTTTCAACAATTCAAAAGTACTCCCTGCCGCAGTCTCCGGACGAGAGGAGAGCCCAAAGTCCCACCTCATTATTTCACAAAAAAAAAGCTCCGATATTCCGTGCCCAAGTGACGCAGGTGGGTTTTAAAATAATAAGCGAGTATGCTCGAGTTGTACAAAAAAAAAAAAACGAGGTTGGCGCACGGAAGCGAAAATCCCCGAGTCGTCGAGAGAGCGAATGGGGTTTGTTTCCGCTCCAACGGCATGTAAAACCAACGACGCTGCCGGCGCCGTTGATGCGATGATGCTCGATAACGCATCGGCGATACGTAATCAAGTACAACAACTCCTCCAGTCTTCCTTTTTTTTCCCACGCCGTGAAAATACACAGGGCCAGTCGATGGCTCTCGAGCGCGGCACTGTGTACCCGCACTCTTTTCTTTTTTTCGAGGGAGCTTACGTGACGTGCAAACCCCGCGTCCGCCAGGGCTCGAATGTGCTCCAATTTTCCAGTAACGAGACTCATCGAGAGCTCCAACGACTGTATTTTTCTTATTACCGAAATACAAGGCTTTTTTTTCTTCACGCTCCACGTGAAATGTTTTTTTCGGACCAGCTGTACTTATTTTACGGAGCTGGAAAAAAAAATTTGCCATTAGGAAGGAAGGGGCCATTTTTCTCAGGCGTAAGGGACAGGCGGACTGTTTTAATCCGCGAATCGCATCTTTCCGGGGAGAGAAAAAAAAGTGGTCGCGTGTATAAGACGGTAGTCAAGTTGCTCGGCCGAGAAGATGGAAGAGGCTACTAGGTATACATACGAAGGAAAGCTCGTTCGTTCTCTCGTGCACGCGCGCGTGTTTTTATGCGCATGTAGAGTCGAGCTAAAAAAAAAAAAAAAAAAAAAAAAAAAACAAACAAAGCGTGGAAAGAAAGAAAAAAAACAAAAATCGAGCTTTTACACTTTTTGTTTCATGAAGCTGGTGCTGTTGGCGTGCGGAGGAGCTACGCAGCACTGACTTATTTACCTCGGGTGAATAACGTGAAGTTGCGTACTTAATAGCGGTGCAAAGAATAAGAAGTATCTGCAGCGTAGAGACACTACATGTAATCTACATACATATATATACGCAAGTTATGCGACGAGTAACGTTTTGTACATTAAATAAATAAAACAAACTCGTATTTGATTTGCTCAAAGCTTCCGGGGGCGTTGGCTCATTGTCCACTGAACTACGTTGAATTTACACTCGGTCTCCGCTTCGTTCACTCGGAGAACAGGTGGAAGAATAATTTCACCCGGAGTAGGAGAGGGTCGCACTCTCTTTGCATACACACGTGCACGTATATATACATGCCATATACGCTCCGTTAGCGTCCCTCCTCTGGAAGGTTTGTTTCACGAGTTTGCTAAGCTGTTGGCTTCTCAGTGCAGTATAATACTTAGTGATGTACGAGAGAGGAACAGCTTACGTAACGAATATTGCGCGTGTAGGACACATAATATCAGTATATATATATGCACACACATTCGTCCGGCGAGTGCACGCACCGAGATAACGTAATCAAAGTTATGCAGAAGCGCGACTCCGGTATAAGGTAATCAGTGTATACATACAAGTGGTGAAGTGTAATTTCATACATGTATGAGAGTATCCACCGGTATATACTTATCTCTTCAAAATTAGCGAGTATAGGTGTCCGCCAAGTGAATACAAAGGCTATATAAACTTTGCCTGCGCGCGAGAATCATAAACTCTCTTTCGCCTCTTTTAGTACCCCCCCGAAATTGGTCATTAACGGCACTATGTATCGCGTTGTTGTTGTCCACACACTGTACATTGACCAAAACATCGTGGAAAAAAAGCACATGATGTTAAAATATATTCCGACGATACGATGAAATCGACAAAGATACGTATATGCGGCAAAAGTGGCGTGGTGGATAAAGTATAGTTTACCTGACATATGTGTTGGAAAGCCAAGTGGGTATACTTTTACGAGCCAAAAAGAAGCATAATATTTCCTCGTTATCATCACTCACATCCGGTGTTAGCAGACTAAAGTAGGCAGGTACGTTTGTCGATCTCATTAACCGAGCGTGTCCGCCCGATAAGTAGCCTATACGCTCGAGTTAGGTACCCATCCGCCCGTTCAATACCCATGAACTTACACAAGCACCCACACACGTTGGTATCACCCGATCGAAGGGGGCGCTTCGGAACTGTACGCGTACATACTACGATGTGTATATAGGTGTACCTTATAATATACGTGTGTGCAAGAGACAAAGAAGCGAGGGTTGGTGTGTAACGACGGATGTCGCGGTCACAGAGCAGCAGAGAGACCATATAGCTCTCCTCGTTGTTTCTCTCTTCACGTGCAATATACATACATGTTATGTACAATACCTTAGACATAATACCTTATACATATTTATATACACCAGCTCATGGACGGTATGGGCCGTCCGTGCGTCGATCTTCCCTCGCTTTGCTACCCTCCATGGGCGTCGATACTGTATATTATATAGTACGTCCGCCACCGCGCACTTTGTATTATGATTATTGAACGATGCCACCGCCTCCCTTGGCTTCCGATGCTCTTTGCCGCGTGGTTAATATAGGTACCCTACCCTTTTGAAGTGGATACATATAGGGGGTTTTTGACAAAGGGTATGTACACATAACATAATTAATTATATAGTGAGCGTCTTCGATTTAAATGCGGTCTGGTGATGATTTTTCGTTTATTTCATTGCCCGGGTCCCTTTATTTTTCCCTACCAATTATAATATATACAATATCCCTATGTAAAGCCCTTTCAACGTCAGGGCTTTGATGAAAAAAAAAAAAAAAAAAAAAATTCGAGATGCCCGTTACCTCGGACACGAATCGAACCTATACATACAATAGTTAATTCTTAATTCTACTCGTTATGCGGTAACAAAAATTAAACGTCAGACCAACACGTACGCGGTGGTATGTACACAACTGTACGTGTGCACAGTAGGTATATATATACATGCATTCAGAGTCCGCGCACCCGCCCAGGAGATTAATGCCGTTCGTTAGCCGAGGGAAGCAATTATCCTTCGATTAGGTGCCGGGCGCTCTTTTTCCTCTTTTCCTCGCTCACGCGAGTCCACTTGGTTCTACACTCGCCATTGCTACATGTATATATACGTGGCTTGCCGTACGAGACTTGGAAACGAGCTAATTTCGAGATTGCAGTGATATATAAGTACCTATAGCCATCCCCGGGAAGCTATACACAAAGTCTGGCAAAGCTGCAGCCACGTAGCTGTTATATATTTATACATCACCTGTACACTATGTACAGGTATCGGAGTCTCCGCATCGCCCGCATACGTGGACTTACAGTACTTACGCGCGAATCGGATTTGCACCTTTTATACCGATAGTATAGTTACTCCCCTACAAGCGTATACTATATACTTGGGTGTACAGTCACTCGGGATTACAATTACCTGTATTATTTGAGAGGCAGCTGCTACACGCGGGATATTATCGGCACTTTTCACTTTGTCTTCCTTCCACGCGCATAATATATGGTACAGGTAACGAGCTTTGGCCGGAATTTGCCCTGTAATCTCGGTTTATATTCCTTACGAAGGAAAGCTCGTTCGTTCTCTCGTGCACGCGCGCGTGTTTTTATGCGCATGTAGAGGGGAGCTAAAAAAAAAAAAAAAAAAAAAAAAACAAATAAATAAAGGAACTTTGTGGTTGTTGCAGGTATACAAGAGCGAAGAAGAAGCATGGCATGATAATCCACAATCGTGTGTGTAAATGCTACAAGTATAGTCCAGGACCGTGCATCCAGTAGATATAGATATATACATAAAAGTGCGCGAGAGTACGACAGTTACAACGACGTCGTCGCGACCGACGGGTGCAGAGTCGAGGTGGCGGAGGTGGTGGCGCTCGTATAGAGAAACATGAAGCGAGCCACGCGTATTGGGCTGCTGCTGTTGCTGTTATCGGTCCTCGGCTGGTGCTCCCAGGCGCTGAGCCTACCCGAGGATGATCTCGTCTTCGAGGACGAGGCGCCCGACCAGCAGCCCCAGCAGCACGTGAAGGAGCCCAAGCCCCGTCCTGGTAAAAAGTGGCGGCCCGTCAAGAGCCTCCTGGGCATGCCCGACGCCGTCGCCCCGGCGGGACACCTCTTCAAGCTCGGCGTACCCAAGCAAGCTTTCTCCGGCAGCGTCGACTACTACGAGGTGAGTTTTCTTTTTTTTTTTTTTTTTTTTTTTTTTTTTTTTTTTTTTTTGTAGTGTCCCTCGTGTACCTACATGTGCTGTTACACCTTTTAATTTTATTAATGAGCTTTGTCGCGCAAGGGTTGTAAATCGGCAGTGGCACTCGTGCAATGTCGCATCGAGCGTATACATCCTGAAACGGGTGATTCTTATAACTTATACGATGGCAGCTCCGGTCGTCTACAGCAGTTTTCGCGAAGTAATGCACCGGCTGAGAACTTATTTTTGAAACTCGGAGCTTGATAATGAAATAGTTTTTTCCGCCCTCGGGTGGTTTTGGGAGGCTGGTACTTCCTCGGGCGAAAAAACAGTTTTCCGGAACTCGTTCGAAAAGTCTCCTTTACGAACCTCGTTACAAACCTCGTCTTCGGCTCGGGCCCGTAAAGCTCTCGGTTCGCAAACAAAGACTTTTCAAACTCGTAGGAAAACTACTATATTCTACTATTTATATCAATTTTCCTCACACATATTACGAAAAATGTTGTACGTAACTCGTGCGGGAAATCTTTTATTCCGCACTTGTAACGTAAATATAACTACAGTCGTGCAGATTATACCGGGCCAAACACAGCACTTCAGATTTCGGGGTTTCGGGGCCGTCAATAAAAACAACGACAATCGAGCGGGTTGATGAGGTAAAAAAAAAAAAAAAAAAAAAAAAAAAATGATTGCAGGTAAAGGGCAGCGTGAGCAAGGCGTTGCCGCACTGGCTTAACTGGGACGAGCCCGCGGCGGTGCTGTCCGGCGTGCCTTCGTGCAAGGACGCGGGGAAGCACAAGATCCGAGTGAAGGCCTACGGGAAGCGCGACGACTTTGCCGAGGACTCGTTTTACATCCAAGTCCCGAGGTGCAGCGAATACGACGTCGAATTGAGGGTTTGTACATTTTTTCTTTTTCGAAGGGAGAAAAGCTTGCTTCGCCCCTCTGAACTTTATTTTTATACTCGGGTGAGCTATCTCGAGAGGATTGATTCACGCGAGGCTAAAAAAAATAATAACTCACGCATGAGAACGGCGAGTAAAGTTTTATCCGAACGAGCCCCGGAGATAAAAAAAAAAAAAAAGAAAGAAATGTTGCACTCCAAGAGTCAATATTGACGTCGACGCGCAAGGAAGAAAATTGCTTTTAAATCCCCCGGAGAAATGTGTTGGCCAAGTGTCCGTTATACTGTCCTCGATTGACGTCTCGCGTGCAATTTTTATACGCGCGAAGCCAGCCCGTCCATTGGTCATAAATTACGTTGCAAAGTGTATGAAATGTGCCATCTCGTTGCAGGAAAGCTGCCCGGACGACCAGGGCCCTACGATGCTGACGCTGCTCGCGGACGCTGAATTTGGGAAGCTCACTGCCACCGACAAGGTCCACGCGATCGAAAACCTAGCTGGCTTCTTCGGCCTCAACACGGTACGTATATATGCGTATTATAGCTGATGATTTGCTGAATTAGGTGTACATGTATACCTATATGTACACGCTGTGTCTTTCATTTGTCCTGCATGTGGGGCTCCCTTTCTTCCACTTTTTTGTGCTCAATTGAGAGTTGACTGCGTTTAACGCGCCACAGTTCTCTCTGCGCTCCAATTGACGAGTCCATTGAAGCGAGTTTCGAGAAATTCGAGGAAGCCCTGATGCATTGACACGCATCAGGAGTCCGTCTTCTCTATACTTCTTCGTGATGGCCTTTAATTGTCGCTATGATGAATGTTTTCTCTCGAAACGCTCGGGCTATCTCCCTCGAGGCTCGAGTTGGAGTTTAATAATTGGAGCGCGATTTCATTTGGTGTAGGTATACAGAACATGAAAAACAAACCGTGTGCACCACTGGAAAGTACTTACAACTTTATCAAAGCCTCAAAAGCAGAGTATAGGTGTGAATAGAGAAATCATCCGGGTCTATTTTTTTATTGCTCATACAACAGGCGCGACATTAGATCCCACCAGGAGAAAAAGACGCGCTTTCATATCGCAGAGATTTATTGGTCTAGACGCGGGTCTGGCCACCCTGAGAAATGCCCCAATTACGCGTTTTTAGCTCTCATCCATATAGGTACGTGCATCGAGTTTCACATCATTATTCTCTTCTGCCCACTTCCTGTTTCCTCGTTCGTTGTACTTTGTACACATATATACAAAGTGAGAATCGGCAAAAAAACACAAGAGCCCCACGGAGAAATCGGAGCACGCGCTCGTCAATGTCTCATCAGTGTTTTCACTGTTTCTCTGCTCAGGACAGTCACACGCGCAATACTTACGATTAGTAGGCCGTATCCTTTTGCCGCGAAGCTCGAGAACATCATTCTTTATCATTCGCGTGGGCAAAGACTCATTGAACAAACCATTGTTATAACTACTTCGTACCTAAATTTCGATGCACATGATTATAATTATAAACTGTTACGTCGCAGAGCTGGATAACCATCCAACCGTTCGAGAACAAGGACTCGAGCAGCTCTGGAGCCCGGCGACTGGTCCGCAAGTACTCCAAGGACATCAAATTCCCGACGAAAATTCAGTGGCAGGTGAGTAAAAAAAAAAAAAAAAAAAAAAAAAAGTTCAACCACGCCAGCTGCAGTGTACATAAAATTGACGGCGCGAAAGAGAGAGAGGGTCCCTCGTTAATACAATATCTGCGAGCCAAGCAATGGATGTGCTGATTCGGCGCTTCTGCCGGCGACAGACGCAAAGCTTCGATTTGCCTTTTTTTTTTTTTTTTTTTCTCTTCTTCTGGCTGTGCCTGCAGATTTGACTGCCGGAATTTTTTAGTTTCATTCTTTTTCGTGGGATGATATTTTTCGAATAGTGGAATTTTCGAAGGGATTTCGCGACAAACTATCGCGTCGAAAAAGTGAAAAATCAGCTGAACACGAGTAATTTGAGCGCGATGACGGGCACTGCTATAGAAAAAAAATGGTAGTGGATACGAATTCGGGCTTGCGTAGCAGTCGAGGAAAAGAGCTTCGAGCTACCTGAGCCATCTGATCTGAAACGCATAATTTTTCTTCCCAAATAAATGCATTCACAATGGTTTCGTCAACTGGGAGTAAATGGATGAAAAATTTTTTTTTTTAATTCACAGGTCGGCTGCGACGGCAAAATATGGCTGAACATAATCAACACGACGAGCGAAATTCCGAACCAAGCGCGAGACGGGACGCTGACGGAGGTGGCCCAACTGCCGATTTACATGTGGAGTTTGCGCACCGAGCCGCCCTCGTTCGCCCGCAACCGCCGTGACGCTCGCGCTGGCTCGGGCGATGGTCTTTTGCCGGATGACGACGAGGACGACGAGGAGTACGACGAGGATGACTACGACGAGAATTACGACAACGGTGACGGTGAGGGTATCACCGACGCGTCGCCTCAGGAGCCCAAGCACAAGCCGGTCGTTCACTCGGGCAGTACTTTTGCCGAAGAGCACCCGCATCGACACCACCACGGCGAGGACAACGTAGCCGGCATCGGTGCCAACATTAACGTCAGTGGCCATCTCACCCCCCTGTTTTATTATCAGTGGATTTTCTTTATGCGTTTATTTATTTATTTTTAAATGTGATTTCAGAACGAAGGAGATCCGTCGATTTGGGATAACGCGGAGGTCAACAACGCTATTGTTGTCAACAACGCAACGCCAACCAGCGATTCACCAATCACCTCGGATTCCGTAAGTTTTGCACATTGCACACAACTTTTGTGGCTGTTTGATAGTCCAACTCCTTAGAAGCTTTTGGTGCTCGTTGCTTTGTTAATTAGTTTTCACGAGCAGCGAGCACCCACCTTTGTATGTAATACATCACCACAGCATAGCCAGCCATGAAGCCTCCCTCAAGTGCTTTTAAACAATAGTATAAGTGCTTCTCATTCAAACACCCTTTTGTGCAACTGTCACCGTGCCTTGTCTGATCTTTTTTTTTTTTGTTTTTTTTTTTTTTTTTTTTTTTTTTTTTTACTCANTTCATCTTTTACCAGATCAATATTCATAAAAGGTGATCAAAATGTTGTATACGTTATGCAACCTTTGCTAATCGTTGGTCAGAGCTGAAGATTTTTGGCCTAGGGTTTTATCTTGTGGCGTCTATCCGTCTATCCATTTAAGGGAACAAAAAAAAAAAAAAAAAAAAAACTTCCCAAAAAACCCATTCCTGTAAATATGTAAAAAAGTACCCATGCACCACAATCTTATCTCCAAAAAGGTGTAGAGATTCCTTTGCAGAAGCAGAATAGTATTATAGAAAGAAGGCCTCTAGAAATTGTAACTAACAATAATTTCTGCCACACACCGCATCTACTAACAATTTCGCAGACAATAGCATTATCGTCGTCAACAACTGCAAGTACAACAACCACCATCTCCACCACCACCACCACCACAACAACAACACCACCAACGACAAGTAGTACAACGACGACAACAATCGAACCTCCAACTACACCAATATCTTCGTCGACAACCGAATCAACGATGGCCTCCGTTACCTCGAGCCCAACGGAACCAGAGTCAAGCTCGACACCTGCGGATAACACGACGGTGTCTCAACAAGTGACGTCCACTGCAAGTGTCGAGACTTTCGCGACCGAGACCGAAACTTCGACGCCGACGTACACAAACTTGACGCAAGTTGTTACAAACTCGGAGACACAAGCTCCGAGCACTAACGTGTCGACGGACTCGTTAACGGGAGACGGGGATGAGGTCTCGAAGGCACTCGACGAGAGCCAGCCGACCACTCGCTACCTCGACAACGAGACAAACGTCGAACTGACCACGATATCGGCGATGTCTAGCACACCGGAGTCACCGGCTACGTCGAGTAGTACTGGTGGAGCGCCCTCGGCTGCAAGTGGTTCCGTCGTCGAGGCGATGCCCACAAGTGCGGAGCCCAACCTTACCGCGGTTTACACTGTAAATGCCACTGCAGACGAGGTAATGCTTATTCGCGAGCTCAGCAGCTTTCATCGCGCGCTATTGCTCGCTCGCTTCTCGCCCGCCGGCTAGTTGGCCTTATTTTATTTTTCATCTCTATGATTTGTACAGTGCGACCGGCTTTTATTTTCATCGAGCTTTTTCACTTTCTGTTACTCCAATCCAGCGGGATTCTCAATTCCTCATGCACGTCCATTGCGCGCGTCGTACCGTCAGCTCTAATCATTTTTGATTTTCAAGAGTAGAAAATACAAAATTTTGGATTTTCTATTTGAAAGAGACAACAAATTCATACATGTATTATGTTTTTGTTTTTTTTTTTATGTAATTTTACGTCCGAGCTCTGACAGTACGACATCCATAAAATTATTTTGCTTATTTATACCCAAGGGCAAACGATCCACCTCACGCTCCGCTCATTGTTTGTTTGTTTTTTTTTTTTTTCTTTTTTTTTATTTCACGCCAAAAGTGCACGCACAAACCTATGTTTTCTATTGTACAGTTTTTTATGTTTCAAAATGTTTTTTATGTTTCTACAGGTTTAATCTTTTGTTACCTCAACTTTCTGTGTTTTACTTTTTATTTTCTTGTACCCAAGATACTATTTACGTTGTATAAAAATTGTTTAGAAGTCATTAAAAAAAAAATATAAAAAAAAAAAAATTTATTTAAGTCCAATGTATTATTTTATCAGAACCCAGAGTCATCTGCACCAGCCTCAACTGCATCGCCATCACCAACTTGGAGTAGCAACACAACTGAGAACGAAGGTGGCAAATCCTTTGATCCTTACGATAACGTAAACGTACCAGGGTACGATTCGACTTCCAGCTCCTCGAGGTATTTTTGAATTTGGATAATTTTTTTTTTAAAACGCCTTTTTATCTGGTTTGACATAAATTATCCGTAGCACATCAACCTCGACAACAAGTACAACACCGCTGTTGACTCCAAGCACTACGTCTACAACTACGGAGATACCAACTAGTCCTTCAACAACTATCTCTTCAACCACAACAACTACGACTCCAGAACCCACGACAACAACAACGACGACGACTCCTACTATGACGACAACTCCATCGACAACAAGCACCACTGAAAGGATTGACTTTGGCGGGCTTAACTTCCCACCAAAGGTTGAAAAGAGACTGAAGAAGATCCCGATAACGCAGGGTAAGCTACTTAGCTACACGATTCCCGAGGATACATTCAGTGACGTTGAGGATGGCAATACAAGGAACCTAAGACTGAAGATTTATGAAAAGGGAGCACCAATAAAGCCTACTTACTGGTTACAATTCAATGAAGAAACGCAAGAGGTTTACGGATTGTAAGTCCAATTTTACAAGTATTGTTCATTTTTTATAAATTATAGAGAAAAAATAACTGTTATATTTTTATTTCAGGCCTCTTGAAGAGCAGTACGGTACATATCCATTTGAAGTGATAGCCATGGATAGAGAGGGATTGAAGACGAGCGACAGACTTGATATTTCTGTGCAGCAGCACAAGCAAATTCGTGCCGTCAATCATGAATTCCACGTGTACTTGAAAATCGAAAAGCGAAGTGAATTCCCAACGAACGTTGATTGGGAGCTCAAGGTTTGTAACAATTTTCAAATCAGTCATTGGCTAATGTAAATATAGTAATTATTTTATGTGACTGACTAAATTTTTACTAACCGAAATTTCTTGTTTCAAAATTTTTGGTAACCCATTTTGTATGTGAAACGTCGATTTAAAAAAAATTCATCTAATTTCAGGTAATGCGTAGCTTGGCTGAATTATATGGTGACAGTGATTTGAGTTACATTACTGTAAGGTCCATCGATATCGATCACGACCAAGCAATTTACTCGTGGACGAATGATAGTTTAGTGAGATCTGATTCTTGTCCTCACGAAGAAATCAAGAGGTTATACAAAGTGAGTTGTTTTTTTTACTACTCTTAGAAACACATTTTTCTTGTGTCACATTTTGTCTTACAAGGGGCAATGAAATTTAACATTTTATTTCTAATAGGTTCTAGTTGCCGATGAAAAGAGCGAGGAGCCAAGTGAGCGTTTAACGCGCGTACTGGGTCCTGAAATAAGACCCAAGCGAGTTGTATATCAAGGCTTGGAGCAGTGCCAACAATCGAAGGAAACACAAGTTAATAAGTACCCTATGCCGAGAAACCAGATAGATCAGCTGAACGCAACAGTAGGCCAATTGTTCGTCTACCGAATTCCCAAGGTGAATTTAATTCTATTTTATTTAATTTGTGCAATGATTCTATTTCCGAGTTTTCCAGGACTAATAGAATTGTTTTCTTTGATTTAATTTTTTTTAGGATACCTTCTTTGATGAAGAGGATGGTGACACTAGAAGTATGAAAGCATCACTTTTGACGGCAAACAGAAGTGAAATACCGTCGCGAGACTGGTTACAATTTGACAGCAGCAATCAAGAATTCTTTGGGGTACCTTTGAAAGAAGACATTGGACGAAAGACGTATCAATTAGTTGTTAGGGATAAAGAAAGTGTGTACAAGTTTTCTTTAAAATTATAGTCTTTGAAACGTTCTTCCAAAACGTTAAATTTTTTTTTTTTCCAGATCTGGAGGCAACTGACAGCCTAGTCGCCGAGGTCCATCCAGCTCCAGTCGTTCGCCACGTTGTTCAGATCTCAATAACGCTGAATATGCCCGTCGAAGCATTCGCCCATTCGGCCCAGAAGAAGCGCGAGTTCATCCAAAAGCTACAGAAGCTCTACGGTGACAAGAGCACAAACGCCATATCCGTCTTGTCCATTACAGGCAATCGCGACTCGACCATTGTTACTTGGCGCAATCTCACTCTACCCACGTACGAGTGTCCGCACGATGAAATCACACGACTACGTCGTGTTCTGGTGAACGACAATAAGAGTTTCACGGAGGAGCTAAACCGTGAATTCAACAGCAACAGCCAACAGCCCGAATTTGCCGTCATTCAGATAACGGTATCGCAAATGGGCGCCTGTCAAGACGTTGACAGACCAGACATGCCACCCATCGATGACTCGACTTTCGTCGGAAAGAGCCACGACGACTATCTATTTACGTTTGTGCTGCCGGCGGTCATTATAGCCACAATGTTGATCCTGGCGGGCCTAATCGCCTGTATTTTGTACAAGAGGAGGCGAAGCGGAAAGATGAGCGTCAGCGAAAAGGACGAAGAGAGGCAGAGCTTCCGAAGCAAGGGAATACCTGTAATCTTCCAAGACGAGCTCGAAGAAAAACCGGATCCAGGTGACAATTGCGTTTGGTTGCCCGTCAGGGCAAAATATTGGGTGGAATACGACTAACAATCAAAATCATTTGCAGGTAACAAATCTCCGATTATCTTGAAAGAAGAGAAGCCACCTCTACCACCGCCCGAGTACCAGCGCGCGGAGGACGGAGCTGACATTCCGATGTTGCCCAAAGAGAACTCGGAAGAACCGTATCAGCCACCGCCACCCTTCGCGACGAATCGTGACAACAACCGGCAAAGTCGACCAAAACCAACGTACAGAAAGCCACCGCCATACGTGCCGCCCTAACAAAGCGGCCACAACAGTAGCAGAGCCGTCGCAGCCGCCGTAGCCGCCAACAACAACACGACGGTGCACTCGCCCACTCGCAAGTACATGCTGGCGATGCTAGGCGACGACTCGCCTACCCACGTCCAACACCAGGCCATTGTGCCGGCGCGATATAACGGGGGATCGCTCATCGGCAACGGCTTTCACGAGCCGCGGCTTATCCGATAGACTCTCTTATTGATAGGTATGAGCGCTCCTTGCGATTTTGGGGGATGAAAAGACACTCTGACAAATAAGGTGATTCGCTCTCGTACACCCGCCAACTGGCAAACGTTTTTATCATTTTTTTTTTTTTTTTTTTTTTTTTTTTTTTTTTTTTTCTCGAGGGGTAATAAGTCCTTCCTTGAGCGAGATTACTTAATACGAGGGACAGGAGGCTGAAGTTCACGCTCGAGTTCCGCGCAAGCAGCGTGTATTTATAATTGTGCTCGAACAATCCGGACGTGAATTTCGATCAAACTTCTTCCATAATACTTGGGCTCTCGCGCGACTCCCTTTCTTGTAAAAAAATGCGCGATTCTGCTTACTTTGATGAATTGTTTTTTTTTTTTTTTTTTTTTTTTTTTTTTTTTTTTATCTCTGATGGGCTAGCATACGTATTTTTACAAGTATATGTACGACTACGTCTGTCTACGATTTTCGGAATATTGACTCGATAGGTGACTTTTTTTCCTTAGACTTATGGAAAGATGAATTTTTACATTGCATGAGAGCCTACAGACTTAATGATACGAGAGTTTATGGGAAACTTAAAATTAGTTTTAAATTAATTTATCATTTAGACACCAGTAACTTTTTGACTTTGAGATACGCACACTCGTAAATAAAGTAAGACAAGAAAAAAAAATTGCTAAAACTTATCGATCACGCGTTGCCTTTTGTAACGATCTTCGCGTTTATAGCATAGAAAAAAAACGAAACCCATGACTCTCAGATCGAGACTCGCTTATTGAAAACTTTAGAAAAGTCCATAGAGCAAGTGCAAAAACAAGGGGACAAGAACAGGGAAAACATTTTTTTAACCAGTTTAAGGATTCTCTAAACGGAGTAAAAGTATATTTGACAGTAATTAGTGCCATTTTATTAAGCAATAAGCTCGCCTAATTGTGAATAAAAAATTTTTTTACATGGGTTTTTTATACAAAGTTCTTTAAATTAACTTACTGAACAATACGTTTTATTGACCATAATAAATGTAGACTGTTTTATGTAATTTACAATGAAAAAAAAAAAAATAATAATAAATGAAAAAAATTCACAAACACTGCCAGGATGAAGAAATAAATTCTTCGTTCAAATGTACCATCAACTTTTGCATCTGTCACAAAAATTTTCCAACAGAATTTCATTGTACAATGTGTTTTGTGCTTTCTTGATCTTATTGAATTAATGCTTCCATTGGTACAATATATACCAAGAATAAAAAGATTAAAGCATAAAAAAAGGTAGAAACATCTATCTGCATAGCCTTGTATCATGCATATAAACAGTACATATCCAGAAAATGTCATGAATTTATCATTTGACGTTTGTGTATCTCGTTGTATTTTTGATAGTTTGGAACGTACTGCCTGATCAAATTAGTTTTTTGAGAAAAAAAAATTAATATTTATGTCTTTGTGTTAAGGCCTTCTTTATCAACTTTATCTTTCAAGTTCACTTGCGTTTAGGAAAAAGATAGTAATAACCGCCGAATGTAAACAACACACAAATATTATCAAGCGCACTTTAGCATCGAGAGCTTAACTAGCAATATGTATACACTATTTAAACTAACGCGCATTTTTTACGGCAAAAACATTTAATTTTAGAAATTACATGTTTAGTTACCAAGCCAAAACTTGACTAAATAGAATAAAAGTTACAGCAAGAAAGAGGTACAAAAAAAAAAAATTTTAATCAATACGCATCGCCCAAACGGAATTTCAAAGCAACTTTTTACTGTCATAATTTTAGACAAATGAAGGCCACATATAGGAGCAACACTATATTGTTTTACTTTGCACTTATGTTGTATGTATGCTCGATGTTTCCAACAATTTTATGATTCGAAATTTTTTTAGAGAAATAAAAGAAACGAGAGGGAGAAAAGATAATAATTATATACGTGGATGCGTCTGAATGAAGGCAATTTTTAATTGTTTTGTGAATGTATACTAATAAATAGAGGGTTAAAATAAAATAATAAGTAAAAACGAGTGTTTGATATGCCAGTACTGGAGTGGTATTCTGTAACTACTTTGCTGTACATCAGCCTATGCATAGGAACACACGGTAAAAAGTTACTGAATACCACCCCTGGAGAATGAAATAATCTAGTTTTTAAAGTATAATGGCAATGCTATCATATGTTAAAATCGCGTTGTTGCGTTATTTGTAGAAATTAAGCCTACCATCAGTTGCAAGAGCTGAAAAGATCAATCTTCTGTCACGACAATGATGATTAAAAAAAAAAAAAGAAAAACCTCAAGTAATAGAGAGTTTCTTGTTGTTGACTTTTATTTGAATACTGATTTTCTGCGAAATTTTAAATGAATGCAATGTTGATGTAACAAAACAAACCATTTGTTGGTAACATTTTTATACCGAAGTTTTACTAAAATTATACATATATGATGATGAATTTTGCTTTCTGATTTGTTTCTTCATGAAATTGCGATCTAATGATTAGTCATCAAAGAATGAGCTAGACGTAAGTTTAAAATTTTCAAGCTCAAAAACAAGCGTTTTTGCGATTTATAGTAATAACAAAACTAAGCTAATTGTACACTTAACATCAATTCTCTCATATCACGCTTATATCATATCGTTGCTCAACGCGTATCCGTCAGAAGCTGCCAGTTATATATAAAAAAAAAAAATAATAATAAATAAATAAATAAAAACATAAAAGAAAATCTTGTATTATATTTGTGCGGTATGTAGAATTGAAGAATAGTATTGGAGTCGATCAACGATTAAAACATTAATGATGTTTCTGTACATTTTATGTAAGGGACCGAAGTAGATACAGATGAGTGATCAACCATTGGATTAACAGTAGATGTCGGAAAAAAGGGGTACAATTTTTTATTAAATAATTTAGTTTAAACATCTCTTAAACATGACAGCATATATAATTAAACCGATCTACCATGCTGTTTTTACTTTCATACAAAAAACAAAAAACCTTACGTTCAATCGACCGTTGCTATAAGGACTTTCAAAATTTTTCAAGTTCCGATGTAATGCCTAAAAAGAGATAATAGGGGCAAAGGGCGCAATGGATGATTTAAAAGTTCGAAATTATTTTTACCTGTTGAAAAACATGTAAAAACTGTAATGCTTCGCTAATGTTATATGACTATAAAAAAAGGGCGTATACTTATATATGCAGACTAATATACACTCTCACACACTACACTGACATTGGTACCACCAAAGGTACTTGACATATTATAAATATTAACACAAAACTCTTATCTCCTTGGAGAGTCTACACTGACGGGGCTGATTGACACATTTTTTGACGCAACTTCAAAAGAGTTTTACGAGTCATTAAAAAATGTAGTATGGCAAACTGAAAACACCTGCGTTAATGATTTTTTGTTACGTAATTTCGATGGTATCCTATTACCTACTAAATTTTAGCGCAATACAGAATACCCGTATGGCTTCGTTGTCATTGTTGCATCTGATTTTTACTTGTGCACCGATTACATCTAATTATTTACGTAATTGTATAGATTTATCATTTAAACTTGAGATGTTCAAGATGTGCTGATTGGCCAAAACCGTCAGGGACTTGCTTATAAATTCTTGCGGTTCCATATCAATTAACAAAGAGAGAAAGATAGAAAATGTGCATGAGTGTGTGTACGTGTGAGGCATAGAGCAAACATAGAAATGTGAAAATGAACAAATTGAATATACATATGTGTACACAAATGTAAGGTCTGACAAGCATTATACATATATAAATGAGATGTGAATAAAAAGTCATTTAAGAATACGAGACTCTGTTCATTGTCACTTGTACGCCAGAAAAAAGAGATGCAGAGCTTTGGTTTTGTAACTATACGTATACTCTTTTTTTTTTTTTTCTCCAAATATACGCAAATAAAATCTGCAGCTTACTAATGTCGTCTGATACATATAGGGCTGTTTATAAATTTATTAATATTATTATTATCGTGCATATGCAAATAATTTTTTTATTAACAAAAGGTACGAACGAAAGCCTACTAAGTCGAGATAATAATTATATACTTATGTACATTATCTTGAAAAATATTAATTTTTACTAATTGTTTTGATGTATATTGTACAAAAAATGTATGTATTATTTACGTTACATTAAATAATTTAATCTTAGATATTACTCTATTCATTAAATAGTTTGAAAAAATTTGTAAAATGAAAGTAAGCACGTACACAGTTAAGCAAGTACGTGCTTCTAATGCATTAATTTTACATCAACGCAGAAAAAAAAAAAAAACAAAAAACGCAAACCTGACCGCGGTAAACGCGTCTTAAAAAAGAAGTTAGCTCCTTGTATAGGCATATGCAATTCGAGAAGAGCGTAAAAGAGAGTTTTAAGAATCCAAAGAAGAAAAACCGGTCTGTTGGTATAACCCGAGGACTACCTGTGCGCGAGGGTGTGTGTATGCATGCGCCGGATACTGTTCACAGACTTGTTGACTTCTTCGAGCTCTACGAGGAAGAATAATTAACACTCTACAATTGAGCTGTATTTTTCGTCGTCCATCTTGCACCGTTGGAAAAAGGTAATTAGAAAGGCGTTTCTTCGAGCTGAAATTTATGATTTTCCCAAAAACCGGTTTTTCACGACGGTCCTCGTGGTGCTGTTCGAAAAATTAGCTTATTTTTTGAAATACCACTAAATTCGAGTGATTCACTTTACATGCATATTGATTCTATAAATAATGGTCTCTTATGGTTGAAAAATAAATTGAAATTCAATTTTTCGTGCGTGTTCCCAACTAGTTTCCTTTTTTTTTTTTCTTCAAAATATGATTTTTATGTAGACGAAAACAAAAATGAAAAGGGCACGAAAATAAAAGGGAAAAATAATGTCCCGATGATAGTTCAGTTTCAGTTTAAGCAAGTTCATTTCAGAGTTTGGTTCGAATACTATATTTTTCGAGTTTTTAGTTTTTAACATTTGCTGGACGAAACCATTAGAGCGTAAAAAAGTCAGTTTTTGTGAAAAATTTACGGACAAAATTTTAAAACAGTGCAAAACTATAACGACTGATGTTATAGTTTTGCAAATAATTTAAAACATAAAATAGTTGTCAAAAAACGTTGCACACACTGTCCTGACAAAAATATAAAGAAATCCCGTATGCTCAAAAGCAAAATTAAAAATTGCTGTCACGTCGAACTTTCAGGGTGGAAGTTCAGTTCAAAAAATTAAGATAAGAGAAAATTAATAATAATTGAATAAGAGGGATAGCATGGTTTTTTTAGTTGTGCTTTGATTAGATACGTATCGAAGTAATCGCATCCAAGGAACGCTTATTTATGATCGGGTAGGTGTCTTTTTTTAAAATTTAGACCTTTCGTTGAGGACTTTATAAAAACAAAATTATTATTTTTGTAGGGTGATTTGTCATAAATGAATAATTTACATAAGTTCATTCTTTCGAAAAACTTAAAGATATACCTACCCTGTTATCGATATACATTTATCACTATTTGTCATTTCGGAGTTTTGACCTTTCGTGATGACAAATTGTTTGAGTTAATGACCTTTTGTAAATTACTTACCCTATGATTGATATCCATTTGTCATTTTGAAATTTTGTCGATAGGTTTTCCAAAAAGACAATGTGTATAAAAGTAAAATAGTATAGAAGTACTACTTTAAATAAATAGAAAGTTTCTACTTTTGAGGAAACTTTCGTCGTGGACAATAAAATAATTTTAATTTGCTATGCATCAGAAAAATAGCATTCGTATAGTATAATAGTGTAGTAGCAAAATAGTGTAGTATAGTATAGCTAAATACGTTGAATAAGATGAGAATTTGCAATTTAAAAAAAAACAAAAAACACAAAATAACGTAATAAAGAAAAATAAGATTTCATACACTCAATTACCGTGCACGGCAAGCATCAATTGTGGTGAGAAAAAATTTACACGATCAATACGCGATTTCTCAATCATCACTTTCACATTTTCCTTCTCCTATATAGGAAATCGTGAGAGTCATGCGTATAAACATTTGTCCCAATATACGTATGTACAGTTTTTCTATACTGCGCATCGGCTATAATCAATTGATTGCGATACTTATCATAAAAAAGGAGTTATAATTGTACGAATTTTTATATATGTATATATTATACACTTACATCTTGAGTTTAAAAAAAAAGTCAACAAAAGAGGCACGAGCGCTTTTATATTTATGACGAATTGAGTATACCAGTGCCAGGGGGTCAATAATATTTGATAAACCACATGAATCCTTCAGCCGTAAAGGGTATATCAAGGTATGGTTATTAAGTAATAAAAAGCGTGAAAGTAAATTGCGTTGCTTTCCGGTCCGTGAGTCCCGGGGCCATTAATTTCGTTGACGTTTGATCATAACAGGTATATATCTGTATACTGCTAAGATGTCATGGTACAATACATGTACAGGCAGTGCCAAAAATTGACCGAAAATGAAAACTGGTTTTTACCGAACAATACTGTTGTGTAGGTACACTGTTGCACTGCTTGCGTGTGGAGAGAAATGGTAAGTATTCCAAACCTAGAGAAATGTATATGAAAAATAACACGTTGCCAAAATTGATTTGGATAAATTAAAGTTTTAAATTAAATTTGAAAAAAAAAAACTTTCAAAGAAATATAATTGATGATTGAAAAAAAAAATTTATCTCGTACACGGTCGAATCATGATAAATTTCATCTTTTACCAGATCAATATTCATAAAAGGTGATCAAAATGTTGTATACGTTATGCAACCTTTGCTAATCGTTGGTCAGAGCTGAAGATTTTTGGCCTAGGGTTTTATCTTGTGGCGTCTATCCGTCTATCCATTTAAGGGAACAAAAAAAAAAAAAAAAAATTAATCGATTAAAGTGAGTAAAACACGTGAACAAGTTAAACGATCCGGTCGCTCAATTACTTTTGGCTCGTGATAATAATAAAAAAATACACACTTTTGGCGCTGGTGATTATTTTATTCGAACGTTTCGAGCGCGCTCGAGGTAAATAATTGAAATGGCCGAAAAAAGCCGGCCGCTCCAATTTCAAAACTGCTCTCGAACGGGAATCTCAAGTGCAATATGCGCGTTGATCTTAAAAACCAAATAAATAAGTGTACAATATATAATTTATACACATGGATAATCCTTGTCGCCTGTGCGTAATAAACACATGCACCTCTCCGCGTATAGGTACGAGAGAATTATTCACTTTCCAGCAAGCCTGTATATAATATATAAGCCTGTACCTAATACAAAATTGAGACGCAGATGGAGAGAAAGAGGGAAATCTCAAAGGGATGAGGTCTCGCTATTGTTTGGCTCCGGAGATGGTGTGGGTGGTAGGATAAAAATTCGCAGTGCCATGGTGACTTGGCGTCTCCGGTTCACATCAGAAAAGGACAGCTATACACGGTGTGTGTGCGAATAGTGCGCGCACATGTATAAATATTTACACGCGCATGCGCGGTTGGTTCTGCTCTCTGTCAAATGCTCCCCCCCCCTCCTCCTACGCTGATTCCAAAACTGACTCCAGCGACAGAGGCGGTGGGTCACGTGACCAAGGCTCGGTAAGTACGCGGGGCTATAAACGCCTGCGACGACCGGCCGGTTTTAAAACGCGTCGGAGTCTCCGGAAGATCGCACCTCCACACACATTCGGTTCGCTCCGCACTTGTATCTTCTCTCTGTTTATTCCACATCACTATATTATAGTGCTCCGAGCTCTTGGTATTTACTTGAATTTTCACTTGGCTCCTTAACTTCGCCTCGTTCGCCAAGCCATTCAAAGTGTGCGTGTGACAAAAAGTGTCGCGGGCCAAGTTCAGTTGGAACTTATACAGGAGGAGAATCGAGGGAGTCAAAGAAATAACGATTAGAGCAAGTTTGGTGGCCTTTCCATCAAGCTTATAAAAGAGTAGCCAAGACGAGCGGGAGCAAGCCTTACTCGGATCTCAACTTCGCGGACCTCAATTTCCGTTAGCCCCCGCGATGGCCGGCTTCAAGGAATGGGACTACTCCAGTCAAGGTATTTTTATAAGTACTCTTGTAACGTGCTCAAAACGACAAACATTATCATCATTGTTAGGAATAAATAATACATAGTGTCAGTGGTGTTATGGGTATACCAAGTTATTTATCGTATCAAGTGTACATAAGATATATGACAGGTTACCGATCGCTACCATACCGATACATATTGTATATACATTATGCGAGGCTGTTATCGTATTCCCCTTCTTTCTGTATAAATATATATTTTATTATTCGAGTCCCCGTTTCTATGTCGACGGCCTCTCTGACTATGGGGGCAGTCCGATCGAAATACATTATAATCGAGTGATGATTGTTGCGAGTGAAATTTTTACGTGGAATTTTTAATGGATTGACAGGATAAAAAAAACTCATTTGTCAACGTAACATATCATACAATTGATAGTAGACTGCGGATACACTAATTTTCGTGTTAAAACAATTGTTGCCAAGAAATAAGTATAAATGCTCGTTCGATCGTAACGGATGCGGCAATTGTTTTTGAAATAATTGAAAATTCATCGAGTTTGAACAACTGCCAATAAGTAATAATACTTACATCATATAATTTTGAGAATTCGACACAATTATGTGCTTGTGTGGTGTACGTGAAGACACAGAGGCCAGAGATAAAGTCGTTGTCGCGTGTGAACGTATTACACGTGCTAATCAGTTAACTACTGTTATTTTAACTTATTAAATCGAGTATTAAATAATAACAAATGATTACACTCGTAACAGCTGAACGAGGCTCTCAAACATTTCTCTTTCTGTTAGCCAAACATTTTTATACGACACGTTTATACGTTTAATTTTTTTTCTTAGAAGGATAAGATATATATTGTCAGACAACACTGTTTTTCGCTAAAATAATATTTCGAACAAATTCTAATTGTACTGGACTATACTACAGTGTATATTTCACGCGTTTGGCATGACGATGCAAAGCCGAGCGAGAGATGTGTGGCACACACCATCATCAGCTCACCGTGTACTCTCTCTCTCTCTCTATTTACTTCCATGAGTCTCATCTTCCTCGCTGCATCTTTTCTCTCTTTCTTCTCGATCTCACGACTCACGTTTACAACCACGCGCACCAAGCTGTCAGAGCGCCTCGCTGTAAAAATTTTTCGCGCAAATTTACGACGCTCGCTTGACGTTGAAACATGTGTGCACAGCTATTGGCGACGGTAAGTACGCCGCGAGAGTCGGTTTATTCTCGAAGCAGTGTACATTTACAAAGATCACTGCAGGTCAGCGACATTGTTTTTTTTTTTTTTTTTTTTGTTTTTTCATTTGAATCGCCATCGTTACTTACTCGCGCGCGCATTCATGTAAGCCCATAACGGTGCCAAGGTCTTTTATTTGAGGGGTTCTGACGGATGAGTAAGCCTCACAACGAAGTAAAAATATTCCGCCGGTCGTAAAATAATTTTTTCGGATCGCCCCTTGTTTTTTAAAATATCAATACGAAAAGAAACGATATACGCAAACACCATGATTCGGGTAAATTTTTGTTTTTCCAACAGTACGGGAAATAATAATAATAATAATAAGTACAATGCCCGAGCACGAGGTGGTCGAACCCGTGAGCTTTAAAAAAAAAAAAAAAAAACATGTTGGTAAAATTTATCCTGCGATCGATTACAATCGAGCGCAAACACTAGCCGGATGATACTTGTTTCCATTATTACATATTCATACCTATGAAGGCATTTTTTTCATGACTATTGATTTTTGTCGTACAAGTTGCGCAATTGTTTTCAAAGTTTGAATTTATTTATTTTTTTCCTTACCGCATTGTAAAAATGTATATTTAAAAACATGAAGATTACCGCTGATAATAGAACATTCCGTGACATTTAAATATTGTGATTGTACAGAGACGGCAAAAAACGCGTTTTATGCGCAAAAAAAATATTTCACAATGTCATCAAACCTATACAAGCGTAAGCCAAAACTTTGTCATTAAATATTTTTGCAGCTAAGGTGCCAACAAAAGACGTTTAATTTGATTTGCATTCCAGTCCCAAAGTACAAGTAATAAATTATCCTCCTGAAAAAAAAAAAAAAAAAAAAAAAAAAACACTAACGTTGAAAAGTTGCGCGAATTTACAAAAAAAAAAAAAAAAAACCTCAAACTGCACGTAAGCTCGAGTCATTTTTATCAGCGCACAAGCCCCGTTTCTTTTCTCTTGCGGAAAAGCCTCCAAAACAAGGAAAACCGACGCTAAATAAAACTTCTTATCGTCGTGAAAGTCGTTTGGCTTAAGTTTCGTTCGCGTACAGGCACTAGGTATGTATCGGCTTGCCACGGATTTCCTGCGCGAGCAAACGTCAAAGCGCATTAGCGACTCTATCGTATGTATACACACACGCGCGCGCTAATTAGTAAGCTGGAGCGGAGCTTCCGCGCTACGCTGTGCAAAAGCCGGCGATTTCACCGATGCGACGCTATAAAGTCGTAAATTTGCTACATCACCTATTGGTATGGTATTATAGTTTCTAATAATAGACATTAGATTTCATACACCTGCACCAGTGAGTGATAATATATTACGCGCTAATTCTTGCAAATAGTCGCACACAAGGATTGCCGATTGACAGCGAGGCATTGAAAATCTTTCGACAATTTTTGTAATGGCAAATTTTTAAATCAAACACCAACATGACGGCCAAACTGTCGGTTACAATTTAAAACACACAAGCACCGTCTGTGTATAAAATCGAGCGATGGCTGGAAAGTGTTTTTTTTTTTTTATTTTCCTGCAACGCCAAGCCAACGACCCATATAATAATATAGGCTGTACATCTTATCTCCGTTGAACTGGATTTCACCAGGTGCGCGCTGTAAAATAACCACGTTTGCGGACTCGGATCGCTGCTCTCCATCTTCTCGTAAATGCACACACGGCGTACACCGATAATTTTATAATGCACACGACATGGTGGTATCTATACACACCACCTGATGTATATACTTACGTCTCGGTATACCTGTGTCGTTACATTGTCCCCGGCAACAGTCGGAATCACGCGATCGTGTTTGTCACTTATGGCGACACCATCAGCTGCCCTCCGGAGCTGTCACTTGACAAGTCAACCACTGCTGCCCCTTTCTGCCTGCTTGTGCTCGTGTCGCTCGATATTAACATCGAACTAGATTTTTTTTTTTCTTCCTTTTTTTAATCAAAGACGCGCTTCTCGAAGAATGCACCAAAGTTGAAGTTGAAGCAAAAGAACAACAACTTACAGGTGCAATATCAATGAAGCTAAAAAAAATACTTCGAACCACTCGATGGGGATAAGAAACGACAATATTAATCGATGAGGCCGAAAAAAAAAAAAACACAAACAAACGAGCATAGACAATCGTTTGAAAGTTGATGAGGGGGGGGGGAACCCCGAAACGGACATAAATAAATAAAACTGTAATTTCCGCAAATGGAGAGCCGCTGGGTTCGTTGCATCAATTATTAAGTCGAGGGACGGAGATCGAAGGGACAGATTGTGGAAGCAACTCGGACGCTCGCGTATGTATATGTACTTGCGGATACGTGTATATATACATATGTACTTCGGTAAGTACATCCTCGCGACGACACAATTCCGAATCCCACAGGTGGCGGTAATTACGTGCACGCCGAGCTTTTGAAAAGAGATAGGGGGGGGGAGCTCTCGGCTATGTAGGTATTACCCTATATTGATTTGTTTTTGCGGGAAATCGTGTCCGAGCGTCGTCGCTGCTTAATTGGGGAGCTACGACCGCGAAACGAGCCCAAGGTAAGCTCCGGGAATCGCGTACAGATAACAAACTCGCGAGGGGTAGCTATACAGCCCCTACGTATATACATATCAGCCGTGTCGTGACTCTCGAGCTCGTTTCGTATTCCCATCGTTGCCAATACGTGTATATATATACATACACGCGAGCACTTGGACTTGTTTCATTAACTTTTTCCTCCCCCTCCCCGCTTGTTCTTTTTTCTTTGTTCCAGGCAATGCTTTCTCAATAAAAAGAATAGAGCGCGCATCAACTAGCCTCGTTTTTTTTTTTTTTTTTTTTTTTAAACCTCGTTTCGGGTAAAAATTGCCATATCTTGATGCGAGAAAAAAAAAGTTACCTCTTTGCGTTCCAAAATTAAAAAAAAAAAAAAAAATCCGAGTTAATAATTACTCTCGCCCTCGACAATCATATATAGATAATCACTTCCGAATATCCACGTCCCAAAGTGTTACACCCCCCGCGTGCGCGTGAATTAGAGTGAACAAGGTGCAAACCACCAATATCATCATCATTCATTCCTCTGTTCTGTAACATTGAGTCATGTATCGAAAGTCGGAAACGCGCGCTAAGTGAAACTGGGTCTGCTAACCTATTTGGTTAAACCTATGCTCTGGTACATAATATATTACGTGGTGCCTATATACTCATCGCAGCGGGTCATCGATTCCCGCCGTGCTGTACTGCTTTTCGCGTGTGATGGGTACCTCTACGAGTCTCCTCTTGCACTGCTCGTATGTGGCACTATTACATATATATATATATACGTGCAGTGCAGCCTTCACTTCGCGTACTTTTATAAGTGTACAAACTGTCGGATAGGTATGCCACGATGTATACATATTTATATGTTGCACCGATGAAATTTGATCCTTTGTGCCGAGAAATTGGTCGCATTCTGTGTCACTCGGTCTGTAGCTGCTCCTCCCGGGGGTAGCCTATTTTGCGGTGCGGTTGCGAGTCGTATATAATTTTAGCACGCGCGAAAAAACTAAATTAGATATACGTCTATATGTAGGTACCGAACTGGCGTCCGTCGTCAAATCTGATATTTAAATAGCTGTGGGATGGTTTTTTAATACAAGTGACTCATTTTTTTTTTTTTTTTTTTTTTCCATCATTGTACACATGCTTATAACAGAGCCTGTAACTAACAGCGCACCGACGCTCTTTGCAGGAGAAAAATCACCGATGATATTTCAGCAATTAAT